ATCGCGGCTCGGTCGAACCCGGTTCAGTATCTTCATTTATCACACAACCTGAACCAACCGTTAATTTTTTTTGGATTAAGATTTATTTTACGATTTTGATTATCGATCACTTAAGTGTTTATGATTTATTCGTATCTAAAATAAATTTTATATTTTTAAAAATATAACACATAAGCTCCATGAAATTTTTATATTTTTAAAAATGTTTATGATCACATAATTTTTATATTTTTAAAAATATTTTTAAACTTAAGTTAAGTCTGAGTTAACTTAAGTGGTATGTTGTCTCACAAATAATGATATATAAAATTTAAGTTTAAAAAAATTATGATTCATTTTAATCCATATAGTTTTGACCATTGATCACTTAAGTCTTTATAGTTTATTGATAACTAAAATAATTTTTATATTTTAAAAAATATAGTATATAAGCTCCTCCCGTCAAATCTAAGTTAATATACGTTAAAATTAAAGTCTGCTTACATAACATACTAACTTATGATAAACTATTAATATAATGATATATATAATTTAAGTTTAAAAAAACTAAAACCACCATCAATTACAAGATAAAGTATTATCGTGTAAACGACCACCAGCAGTAGTACCGAGCCATTGTTATCTAATAGGGTGTTATACACATGCAGCCTCTCTTATGCTAACGACGAGCTCAAAAGCTTTCACTTCTGCACAAGTGAATGTGCGTCAACTAATTCAGACGCAAGGTACATAGTGGTCTTCTAGTCTCTCTTCCTCCTCTTGGGCATTTCCATCCCACCACTTTTCACTCCGTCCTCTCCTATGCTCCCACTCACCATGCCTACAATATTATGGTCTGGCTCTCTCTCACCTCCGTCTTCGACCTCTCATATCTCTACCTCTCCACCTTCATTTACCACTACGGGTTTTGTTGCTTTCTCTTCCTCGACAGGATAGGTCATAATCTTTTTTTTAAACTTGAATTACATATGTAATTATATTGATAATTTATTATGAGTTAGTATTGTTGAATCTCATATTTTGATGATGAAACCAATTGATAGTGCTTATGATTTGATCTACGTTTTGAGTGACGCAAGAAGCTTCGATTAGGGAGAGACAATTAAGGTAGAAAGAATCGTGTTGGGCTGGAGAGAAACATGTCAGAAGATTGGATGTCAAGCCGAAGGATCGGTCGACATATCAGCAGAAGGCTTCGGGCCAAGAAAAGCGAAAATTGCGACAAGTAAATCAGAGTTGCGGAGGTCAAATAGCTGATTGGGCAATAGGCCACAAGAGAGGCCGATGTGCCGAAGCATCAAATGAAGCGTCGATGAACCAATGACATGTCGAACAACATTTGATTTAAGCCTTATAATAATTGTCTAGATCGAAATAGGTTTTACGTGTGCATGATTAACTACGATAGCAAGGCATAAAGCAAAATGAAGTCCCGGAGTCAAGAACAAGATTTCGTTAGGAGTTCTAGAGTTCATTGAAAGTTCTGCCGAAATTGGCCGAGAAGTCCAGGAGCTTACCAAAGAAGCTCGTCGGAACTCGCCAAAAAGATCGTTGTGAAGTCTAGGAGCTTGTCCGGAGTCCGTTGGAACATTACCGAGAGATCGTCGGAAGTTCGTTGGAAGCTTATTGGAAGAAACCTAGACTTACATACTTATTTAGCTTAGTAAATGTCTTAAAATTTATATAGTTAGCACATAATTGGGTTGGAATTGAACCAACTAAATTAGGGGTCAATTGAGCCCAAGTTTGGGTTGTGTTGGGCCAAGTGTAAGGCCCAAACAGTGACCCAACAAGTGGCACTGTCATGGCATAGTCTCTGAGACTATGTTAGATGGTGGTACTGCCCAATGGCAGTGTCAGACAGTGGTACCGCCAGTCTGGGTGGTGGTATCACCCAGACACAGTCTCCCAGGCAGTGGTACCACCTAGTGTCAGTGCTGTAGGCGATGATACCACCCAACACAAGTGGTGGTACCGCTAGGACCTGAGAAACGCGGGATAAGACTCTTTTAGGCTCCAAGTTTGAATCTACTTAAGGCTTATAAATATCCCTCTCATCCCTGATTAACTTACACAATAATTGAGAGTGAAAAAGGAAGAAAAGGCTATTTTAATCTTGTGTGAACTCCTCTCAAACTTTAAATGTTATAGAAGCTTAAGAGAAGAGGTTGTAAGGGTTCTCTACTGAACTTGTCAAAAGGAGAATCGAGTTGTAATGGTAGTTGATCTTCGCCCATTGAAGGAAGATCATTAGTGGACGCCGGTGGCCTCGACGGAAGGGAAATCGACGGAGTGAATATAGGTCACAATGATTGAACCACTATAACTCAGTTTGCATTTTCATTCTTGTAATTTATCTTTACTACAAACTGTCTTACCTGCTTATTGCTTTCACTAAACTTACGAACGAGATTTGAAGTTATCTTTCCGAGATCGGTTTTATCGTACAAAGAATTTTTCAAACCGATGATTTTATCCTCTAGACTAATTCACCCCCCCCCCTCTTAGTGTCGACTCTTTCTTAACAAGTATATCACATAAGCATACTCTAACATCTGTCAACTCAGACTTGACGGGAGGGACTTATATATTATATTTTTTAAAATATATAAGTTATTTTAGATATGAATAAACTATAATGACTTAAATGGTTGAAGGCCAAAATCATTAGGGTTAAAATGGATCTTAATATTTTTAATATTAAGTTAAAAATATTATTATATTAAATAATTTATTATGAATTATAAGTAAACTTTTAATTCATTCTTAATAGGAGGAGCTTATATGTTATATCTTTGAAAATATATGAGTTAGTTTATATATGAGTAAGCCATAAGGGTTTAAGTGATTCATGGTCAAAATCACAGGGGTTAAAATGAAGTTTAATCCAATCTTTTTTATCATCAAAATCATATGTTTGAGGTATCAGTTTTTATTTTTCTTGATGATATTTCAGTGATCAATGGAAAATTGAAATTAGTATCCAACAAGTAGGAGACTAAAGAGGAAAAGTTGGAAGTGTTAAAGCACATGACGTGATGTATATATAAAGCCGTCAATCTTTTTATATACAGATCTGAATGGAGGCAGATTATAAAGAAATTAAAAGAGAAAAGGAGACAGGTCATCTTCTCAAGGATCCATTTGGCTGACAACTACATCTAAAGCTTTGTCCAGCTGTGACATGTAATTATAGTATGGAGATAGTACAGAGCAATACATGCTGTTGGATTGAATATATTATGTACACATTTCTCGGAAGGTATTCTATTTCTAGTTTGGAATGGATGTCTCTCTATTTGTTGTAATTCCTAAAATGTCCCCTGACAAAACAGTTGAAATAGTAACATTGGGAAATGATCAATTATTTATGTTATAATATTTTTAAACAAATTTATACTGTTTTGATTGATGCATTAAAAATATTATAACTAATATAAAAAATATATATATGATTTTTTTTTCTTAAACCAATATGGATACTGGAGCCCTATTTTTATAGATGAGTTTTAAATTTATTTTACCTAAGTTATAGTGTTATTGACGAAGGTGTAAAAAATTAAGTCTATTTAAAAATACTATGACTAATCACGTAAATCTTTTACACTAGAGATTGGATCGATCGTCCGATGGATCAATTCTAATTGATATTTCAATGATCATGACAAACAGGAGATATCTTTTGGAAAATAAAAAATATATATCTCACAGGAAATAAAAAACCTTGATTCTTTCGATAATCAAAATTTTAAGTGACGATAATCGATGATAGTATTGCATAATAGATGATAAATTTTAATAGAGCAGTTGCTCTTATATTGGAGAGGGTTCTATCTATCCAGTTGGTGTTTTTAGCTTAACTTTGATTGACAACCGATTTCTTCTTTTTCAAAAGATAATGATTAATGCAATTGCTACAGTATGATTAGACGGTACATTCCCCACAACAAATAGACTAATAATATATTTAATTATTATACTAAAAATACTTGAATGAGTTTCGATGTTAATCAAAAAAGCTAATTCATAAAGCTATTTGTTAAGTTTTTAGTTCCATAAGGATACACTAATCTAAAATTTAGAGGGATAAATATGAGAATATAAATTCTACAGGGATATAACTTGTAATGTTGTCTTAATATAATATAATATAATATATAATGGCAGCCTGGATCTAGTGCTCAACATGGCCCAGCAACATCCAACTGTCCGACGGCTCCTCGGTCAGCATTAAGTTGCGGTCAAATAAGCGATATAAAGTAGGTCGCTTCACTTCCTGCCTTAAATGACCAATTACACGATCCGTTATAAGTTACGATAGATTGACGTGACAACATCGTCTCAGACTGTGACGCCATCGTTTCGTCCGCCCATCCGTCGGACTTTATTAAGGCGTCAAGTATTTAATAGAGCCAATTTGATATTATTTTATATCTGTAATATATAAAAATAGGAGCACTTGCAACGGCCAGCTATTTAACCCGCGACTTACTTGGAGATTCGGATCTGGTTCGTGATTGGCACGCTCATTAAAGCATCGCACAAGTCCACATCATCAAGGTAGCGGTCTGTATGAAGACACGTTTCACCCGGGTCCGTGGGGCCCATCCTGCCACGGAGACATTCCGCCGATGCTATTCTCCACGTCACCTCAAGGGTCCCGGGATGGTCGTTTCGAGCAGAAGTTTTGATGGCATCTTGGCCGTTCACTGATTCAAACCACCGTGCCGACGACGAGTTATGACGCACGAACGAGCGGTTTTGGACAAGCTCGTCATTTCACGTCGGGCAAAATGGTGTGTAATTTGCCGATGTGCGATGGGTAGGGGATCGCATGTTGTGCTAGGTCGTAAGTTGGAACTTAGAACACTATCCTCTCCTTCCGCGTGTCATTCAGCGATGAATCCCTGCTTGGGTGGATCTCTTCTGATGCGCTTCGATTATGTTAAAAGAAATGGTCTGAAAACCAGATCCAACTCGTCTTGCCGATGTTCTCCGTCGCTCCCTCCTTGTGAAAGGGATCTTCTACAGATTCCCGCTCGCTTCGGCTCCCGTTTCACCGATTCCATTCCTCCTCCCCCTTTTTTCCCTCATCTGTATAAATCGATGCTCCCACATCCCTTCCCTTGGGATCTCCGACTAGGGTTTGGGGAAACCCGGAACTCCTCGGGGTTTTGTTAGGGCTTTGAAATTTCCTGGTTGGAATTCGTGTGTTTTAGGGTTCGTTAGGAACATGTGCTCTACTGTTGTAGTTTTGACTGGTAGTTGGTGCGAAGAATTTGGTCATGTAAAGTAAGACTTGCTCAGAAGTTGATATATCTATAGAGTTGTCGTCACTGATTCAATTTTGGAGTATTAGAAGCCGGAATCGGGTAGTTTCAAGGGAATCTGTGGCTTTGATGCGACTTGAGTGGATGAAATGGCGAGCACCGGGGTGGTCCAAAGGGAGGCGGAGTCACCAGGCGAGGTGGATAGCGGGAAAGAGCCTGGTATCTTCTCTGATATAGATGGGGTTGGCTATCCTCTGGCTGAATCATGGGCAACTCGCTCGTGGACATCGCCTCGGCCAGGTTGGTTTTCTAGCTAATGTTTCACGATTGTTTTTTCTCCTCTATGTGATGGTTGTGTCGAGTATGGACTGCTGAGTAACATTTTGGCCCAGGTTATAGGTGCCTAAATTGAAAAATGTCATCTTTTTCCCTTCCACGGACTTGGATCAAGATGTTCTTGGAGTACTCCATAAATTTGCAGGTTCAAACAGAGTCTATGCTATGTTTAGACAAAGATCAACACCACCATTGGATCTGTCTTTGTAGATTTAATTGTTTAAGTTAATTTGACTAAATTTGTCTGGACAGTTTTCTGGCTCCAAATTTAAGGGGCTAGCATCTAGTTGACATCTGATTCTAAAAACTGTGGTAATTGTCTCTGGAGTGCTCATCCTACTAATTGGTGGGATCAATATAACACTTTTGTTTTTCTTCCAAAACAGAATTCACTGACAAGTGTTTTATAGGTATCGTGTTAAAATTGTACTCTGTGTCCAGTTTGGTATTGAAATTGTACTAAATGTCCATGTTGTAAAATATTTTCAAACTGCTTGTTAATATCATAGATCTCGGTTTAACATATCTTTACATTGCCAATTTTAAACTTTTCAAAGCATCTCCAAGACTTTTTACATTGCTCCTGCCAATGTTCTTTCTTGTCTGTTCCTCCGCTTCCATCTCAAACAGGAGACAATGTGCTTTTAGTGTGCCTTGAACCCCTCTTATCTATGCAACCCTTATTGATGGCTGATCGCCTCAAATTTTCACTAATAAGATCACAAATTGCAGCTAGTATATACTGTGTGAATAGGTGTAGATAATTCAGTTCATTTTTTCATTGATGTAATTGATGCACATTTTTGTGACCAGCTGTAGCTTGGGCTACAACCTAACCAGTAACCACAAACCATAGAATAAGCTATGGCTGCATAGTTTAACACAGACCACAAAACATATGTACATGTACATATTCATTTGTGAATATGTATCCATGTGTACTCATACATTAAATGCAACTGTTTCTTGCAGTATAATAGTTGTATATCTTATGACAGCATTATATTTATCATAATTGCATTATGTTCAATTATGAAATTTAGTAATTAATGCTGACTTATGATTTTAAATGTTGTATTTGACACTCTGAATTATGATATGTTTTTATATAATTTACCTATAGAGTATGAAACTTCAATTAAAAAACAAAGAGTAATGAGTTTACTTTAGTATAGTACATTGCACGGATTATATAAATATACACATCATAAGATTACGATACTTAGTCACAAGATTCACTGAATTTCTGATATATATACATATCACATTTTGTTTCCTGGCCAATTAGTTCTGTGCTTTTTTCTCCTGTCTGTGATTATTTACCAAATTAAATGAATGATGAACTAGACAAACTATTCAAGGATTAGATAGATAAATGATGTTTGTTGTAATAAATTTTGTTATATAAGTTGGTTATATTGTGATATATATCTAAGCACTTATGGCATTTCTAATACTCCATATTTTTCATGAGCTTTCTCTGACTTTACCAAACCTTTTCCCTAAATCCAAATAACTATGTTTAGGAGCCTATGTTTCAACTTGGATTTTAGGCTACTTCTTCGCTTAGGTAATTTAACAAGGACACCAGTGTTGGAAAAAAGGAGACACAATGACATGCAGAAAAAATCAGCTAGTTTTACATTGAGAAGCAAATAGTTCCACCCATTTTGCTTTAATAATTGATATATAATTAAAGAGTGTGCTAACATTTAACTAGCAGATATGTATATAACTTTCTGACACATGCATGATGATTTTAGTGTGGTTATGCCATCCTCGTTTGCAAACATATTCAATCTGATTTCATATTCGTATGTGCTGCCAAGTGACTAAAGATGTTTTAGGTAATTCAAGACGAGATATCGTTGTTTCTTCCTCTAGTTTTCTGATATTTCAATTTGTGGAAGACTGCTTGTTTAAACTTTATACACTGGTTTTCCATGCCGAGATATTAAACTTTTGGACAAATATGCAGGAACTTGGACTTTTTCTTTCTTTTCTTTTGGGAAATACATGAAACTGATAATTGGCTTGAATGGTTCAACTCCTAAGAGTAATGATGCGTGGCACACCGCACACCATGTTTGGCTAAATTCATGATTTTGATACTTCTGTTAGTCAAGCTTGCTCTGAGACAACTCTCAACTCTTAGCTGAAATAGAAATAAAAAGGAATGAAGACCACAATCTGAGCAGCCATTGATTTGATGGTGAATTCCTCATGTAATTTATTTGATACAACCATTGATCTGAACCTTGATCTGAACCATGAGAATCTATTTGTTGGTCTGTTCATTTAATTGCATACTGTTCGAGTAAGTTTAAGTTGTTGTGCTTAATAATTAGATCTCTATTTGTTACGAATGTAAATAAATAAATTTGACATGGTAGGTCATGACAACTAAGTATTAATGAATGATAGTCTCCTAATTTTGGTATCATATTGCACATCTGTTACTTTGGGAAAGATCCATGTAGCCAACTCCATATGGTAGGGACATACAGTTTTGATGGACTACACACACAGTCATGAACTTCTAATTGCACATATAGTTAAAGTTGTCCATGTGTGGGAAATTCTTATATGACCCGTGCAACCCCAGGTAGCTAGTTTTGACTGTATAGTGTGCCCATTTAAGAAGTTTAATACCTAGCTGAATCTGTATCATTTTTTTCCTGACATGGCTTATTTCCAATTAGAGGGTGTAAATAATGATGCGTACTTCCTTAGTTCCTTTTCGGTGTCCTACTCTTGTTCTTCCTGTTGGATTTTGAAGCCAAGGGTTGGAGGGGTTCAAGCTAGAGGGCCAGTGGAAGGAGCTCTTCTCTTCTTTATCCTTTTCCTGGTTGGGTTTGTTATGTGCTTCAAACGTTGGAGGCTGACCAGTTAGGCATTTAAACTCTAACTAGTCCAACCATATAGCTTTTACCGGACCTGTACTGATTCACTCTTAGTGAAACAAGAATACTAGTTTTAACTTACTGGTTCCATTTTAACTGGTATTATTCATCGAACATAATCAGTATGAGAAGTATTTGAAGAATAATGCGTATTTTGGTGCATGCAGGGAAACACTGCCTCATAGGGTGATTTTTTATCCAGTCACGACTCAAACAGGAAATTCTGATTACTGTACTCAATATTGGTTGGCTTTTTATTCCGTACTTGGGATCAAATACAGCTTTTTTTCCCTTGACGCCTACCCTTGAGTTTCCTTGATGCTGTTAAAATAAAATTATAACTTCTTTCAGTAGAAAGCTTATTTTTTTTCCATAATACTTTTTTAGGGTTGGACTTGGAGAATTGTTATACTGCACCGGTGCGATCTAATAGTAGTGGACTATTGCCTAAAGGTCCAGAGCGTACCTTGCCTCGACCAAAGACAGAAAAAAAGGAAATTCCAAAGTATGACTTGAAATTGGATAGATTGCCAGAGAGTGAAAAGGTAAATATTTATCACAGATCATATATGTACTTTATGTTCATTTTTGAAGCAGCACCTGTTCTTCAGTGCTACAACTCCATGAAAATGTTCACGTGCTTTAATTTGAGTACACGCATGCTATTGTATATGTTAACCAATTGTGTTAGCATCCGGTGAGTTAGTCATACCTAGGTCAGCCAGTGAAATGCTTGAACATGTCACTACTGTCATTGATATACTACTTATAAGGTCATATTCCCTGTAAGCATATCTCTGTACATCATCATAAACAGTTCTGCTGGTCCTTGTCTTCTTGTTTATTCCGGAAACAATTCTTTAGGTATAAACTTTTATTTTCATTCTTTCTTCGGAGTTTTCCAGCTAAATTGTACTTAACTTTTCAGAAAAAGCTAATTGAAAACCTAGTAAAGATCCAGAATGATGGTACATTGGAGGTGGATGTTGCAAGGACAGGCCCCGTAGCATCAGAACTATTGGAGCTTGATGCCATTGGTTCTATTCCAGGAGATATTAAAGACACCATCTTTGACTTCAGCAAATCAATCCCAAGACTGAAGATTGCAATTCTTGTGGTTGGAACAAGAGGAGATGTTCAGCCTTTTATAGCTTTTGCAAAGAAACTTCAGGCATGTATTCTTACAGTATTATACAGTATGGCACAAGTTTTAAAAGTTTATATCTTGTCTCTGTCACAAAATTGTTTTTCCTAACAATGTTGGAGTTTAGCAGCATTCACTTGTGTGGTTTTTTTTGTTATTTGGAACCTATTTGGATTTTGTTGGCCTAACTGCTCATGTTTTAGTGGTTAACATTTTTTTTTGTTGGAGTTAAATTATCTGAACATCAATCTCTCGGGAACAGAAGCAATCTCATCTAAAAATTGGCCTATTGGAATTTTGATAAGGAGGTGAACTTGGAAGTCTACTCTACAATATGTTTGTTCTTTTGTATTTACTTTTCCTGCTAGATTCTATAGTTGTGCTATCTTTATCTTTAATGGGCAAACCTGTACTTACAGATCTTTCACTTTAGTGACTTTTGGGGTTTCATTTTTCAAAGTTGCCAAGATAATGAATTCCATTACTATGGTACTGTTACTTGGAAGTTGCCAAGATTGTATAGTTGTGTTATCTTTATCTTTAATGGGCAAACCTGTACTTATAGATCTTTCACTTTAGTGACTTTTGGGGTTTCATTTTTTGAAGTTGCCAAGATAATGAATTCAATTACTATGGTACTGTAACCTGGGAGAGCTTATGTCCAATCTGCGTAACACATGCTGTCACAAGGGGTCCATGTATGCCCACATGCCAATCACATATCCAGAGTACATATTGGCATTCATACACCTCTAGCAAATGTGGATACTTCACAAGCATCATATGGCATGGCCCATGCAGGGGACATTACTAGCACTAGCAATTGTCCATAAAAATATAATGGCAAGTGATTACTGCCCTGCTTCCTTGGTCATAAGCAATGTTGTCAGAAGGCACTTGGGTGCTTACCTAGTTTTGGGGCATGCAAGGCCCTAGTGCCAGAAACCTCTCTGGGCAAGATGCCTTTGCCTGGCATCGCTTAGGTCAGCACCTCAACCTGGGCACTTGGGCATCCTAGGGACTTGGTCACATATTTCTTGTGTTGGCAGAAATATGTGGCCAATGCAAAATATTTACTGACAAACATTGTTCTCTATGGAGTTAGGAAAATATAATTTCATAATTGTTTCATCTTTTGTGAAGTGTCTAGAAGATTGGCCCTTAAACTGCAACATATTCAAAAACTTAAAAATTGGTTTTAAAGGATTATGATTTATTTATGTTAGGCTGGAAAAGTTTTATTCCGTAACTGAATGCAGCAATGAATAAATTTTAAAAGATTTGAGTAGCTGTATTTATGAACAAGCCTATTTACAAGTTACAACAATGTTCCAACTATCACTAGAAGGTTGCAGTTTGGATATGTGAGACATAATTTGCAAGATTTGTATTGTCAAATCAGTTGAGCGCGATATGAGATTGATAGAACTAGCTAGATTGGAATGACTGGATTGAAATTGACCATGCAAATAACTTAAATATAAAAAAATATTAGTAAGGCATGTAACTCTCTAGAGGACATAAAATCATATATATAATACACACACACACACACAAAAAGTACATGCAGTGTGATGATAGTAATAGACATTGTTGCTCCAAAGCGTCTCTAATCACCATATAGATGAAGTATTTGGTACTGCAAAGATAAATGAAAATTACTTTATTTGAAGGTAAGTTAATTTGAATTCTGTGACATCTCTCTTTTCTGTCATAACATGTCTATAGATAGGTTAGGGATTGCTTTTTGTCCTTCCCTTTCCTCTTTGTTCTACTGGCTGGTGAGGAACATTACAACAGTGTTGGTGAACAGAAAATTTGATGTCTACAGTAATTACTGTAGCAAACAACAAGCAAAGTATTGGCAATTTGAACTGTTTCACAATGATAGTCAAATGCCTTTTTTGTCTTTCTTTTGCATTGTCTTGCATTCCTTCATCTCTGTCCCTTCCCCGCATCTTTTTCTTCTTTGTTGGTTGTTGAATCGTCTATAATAGACCAAGATTGGCAACCATGGTTGTATTCAGTCAACTCTTGTTGATTTCAGTATTTTAATTGAATTAATCCTAGATGATATTGATACAGATCAGATGTATGTGAACTATCAACTATGATTCTGAGCATTCCAAGAGCACAAAGGGTCAAAAGCAAATCCTTTAGTGCCTAATACCAGGTTTAATCTATCGAAAAATGAACATTACAAGGTGCCCTTCCCCCTTTTCCTTGTGCCCTATGAAAAGAGTAAAAAGGAAAATCCACAGGAGCTGAAAAAACATATGCTTGTGAATTTTTTATGTCTGACAAGGTTTGCCATATCTTGGCATATGGATGGGCTGATACCTTTCTAACATGGTATTATTTCATGTTGTGCCAGTTGACACACCTATATGCCTGTTTGCAATGGCCAAAGATTGGCTTAGCTATATGTTGGCCTCTTCAGGACAGGTTGACACGACACAAGTTAGTGCCTTTTTAGAATGGTAAGAATCAATCCATGCCAACATTTGTTAGTTGGCACTTGGCATGGTTATTATTGTATGGACATTCCAAAATATCAAATATTTCTTTGCAGAATAAAAAGAAAATACTACAGAATTATATGAATGTGCACATTGAGAAAAATATTGAGGGCTAGGCTAGATGCTTATATACAAAATAAGAAGATTTTGGATTGTCAAGGTGCACAGCCAAACAAAAGGACTGCTTCAAGATGTTTTTGTATTAATAATCTTCAGGGCATCAAATCTAATAAAGTATTGGAGTATTGGACTAACCAGAACTTTTTATGGAGTAAACAAAAACATATGGGCATATTGTTTGTGGCATGTTTTGTCCTTGCATTTAATTTTCAAGGAAGTGATAATTTATTTGCAGTTTATGAAGATGACTTTGTATTTTGGTTAGTCTGTGTTCACTGATGGATGATTTACCTGTCCTTTTCAGGAATTTGGTCATCGTGTTAGATTGGCAACTCATGTCAATTTCAGTACTTTTGTAAAGTCATGTGGTCTGGAATTTTACCCTTTGGGTGGTGATCCTCGAGTAATGGCTGGATGTAAGAATTGAGAATTCTTGTTCAAAATCATTCTGTTTTTGTTCAAATTTCATACCATGACTCTTCTTTGTATAATTCACTGATTTTTTTTTATTTTTTATTGATTAGTCCTCTTTTTATTGTATGGGCAACATATCTATAGGTTTAACTAATAATAGTAAGCCTTTGCAGCATTTTCTCAACTACTAGGTCTAGGCCATATGAATTATATTTTTTCATTTATTCATGAGATGAATACACTAATGTAATTCTCCTTTAGAGGTGAAGAGATTGGCTGGACAGCTATCCAATCTCACTGTATAGCAGAATGAAATAAAGTCCAAACTCCAAAGTAAACCAAAAATAAACAAAGAAAGTATAAGGAGAGAAAGGCAAGGATGGAACACAGGAAGAGGCAATTACATGGGTTCATAAGAACTAACAAGAACTTTAATGAAAAATTAAAAAATATAGAAAGCTCTTTCTGGTATATAGTTTCCCCAAGAGTGAAACCAACTAAGAGTGTCATTTCGAAATTCTTGTTCACTGTGAACCTTGCATTGTTTTTTTGATCTTTCCAAATCATCCTCTATAGTTTTCCATGTATCTAGATGGTGTATGTTAAATCGAGCCTATTTTAAAATGTATTGTGCATGCTACATCTTTGTGGACATTAATGCCAGATCTTCATATTAACCTAGTAAAAACTACCAAATTGTAATGGTACCTTAACATCTAAAAATTGAAAATGAACATCTTCAAGTGGCTTCCTGGTGAAGGTACTGATGATACATGATGTGATGCTTCATGCCATCAGATTCCTTTAGTATATGTACATAACATACATTTGCAATTTGAAAGGTTGATTTTTAGTACCAACCTAAGTAAATGATTTTGCATTTGGTTTGCATGGCATGATAATCTGAGTACTAGTGGGTTTGAGGATCTCATTGCCTGTTCCTTAGCTCTAATTTTTTTAAATATATTGATACTAATTAGAGTTAGTCTCTACTTTCAAATTTATTACTCTTGGAATATTTTCAAATACAGATATGGCAAGAAACAAGGGTTTCATATTATCAGGACCAGCAGAGATTAATACACAACGGAAGCAACTGAAGGAAATAATTGATTCTCTACTCCCAGCATGCACAGAACCTGATTTAGATTCTGGGATGCCTTTCAGAGCTCAGGCAATTATAGCAAATCCACCTGCTTATGGTGAGATTGATATTAATGCATTTGCAGATATCTGAACTTTTTTGATTATATATGTATTTCAACCTTTGATAATTTTTATAAATCCAAAAGGAATTAGTGTTTCTTTATCAGCAATTAAGGAATTTCTTGATAATATCTTTTGATTGTTGTCTTTGATGTCGCCAGTTAGTCATTTTATAATGGATTTTCGCTGTGGATCACATTTTATAAGAAGAAGATTTCAGCATTCTTTCTTCTCGTAGAATTTGTGTCAGCAAAAAACCAGACGCCATTTTAATTATTTAATCACTCTCGTGTGTGGGTGGGGTTGAAGGTCCCTCTAACCCAAACTGAAATAAAATTCTCAAAACACACCGCCACCAAATGCAGCCTTGCATTGAAATTTCCCTATTGTACCTGCATTAACTTCAGGTGGTTAAGTTGATTGGGTCTGGATGCAATGGGATAGGTCTGGTTGCATTATTGGTTTCATATTATACCAAATCGAATTTGTTTCAGGTTAAGGTATGTTTAGTTGAACTTCATTTGGCTTGGATCTAAAGCTAGGCCACATTGAATTTGGTTGAGTTTTGAGATTTTTAACCTAAGTTCCAAAATTCTACCGTAATGGATTTGAAATGTAAACTTATATTAAGGTAAATTAATTGCAAAACGCTTTCATAGAGTGTCCGAAATCTCTTTTGCTTCTTCTAAATCTGCTATTTGATTGGGTTGGGTTTAGTGGGTTCAGGTTGATCACAATCCACGTTGCAATCCTGCTCATCTGTAATTTATTAGCATGCTTTCTGACCATTGTGGATTGACATGTTTGTATGATAGTTTAAAACGATATCCAACATGTTTTAGGACTTTTTCTTATGTGTTATCTGCCTGAATATACACAATTGGGATGCTTATTTGTGGTGTGTACAGAAGAGAATATGTCATGGTTGAATTCTAATTTATATTTTCTTAATCTTGAATTCCCATGAAACAATTGTACTTCCAATCAACAAAATTACAATTGAAATACTATTATTTTCTATCATTCATCGGGATGACAGTTTCAATTTGGACTCCTGTTGCACCTGCTTGAACTGGCCTGATTTTTTCAGGTTTAAGCAGTTTTAACAAGGGCATGGGGTGAGCATACTTTTTAAAAATCATTTATCCCCTCCCTGAACTCAACTGCCCTGTGAAAAAAGTCATCCTAAAAGCTATATATAAATAATTTTCTTCATTATATTATAAATATAAATTAAATATGAAATAGGTCAGGGAGAAACCAATAGCATTGGCTTTTGTGCTATTCAAGATTGATATTTCATTTCTTTAACCGGATCAAAGTTGGTGCGGAGAAGTGGCCGGATTTTGAAGTGGCAGGGTGAGGATGGTCACGGTGAAACTCACCCCTTCTTGGCCAAACCACCCCCACCTGCCCATTACCATCCTTTATTCAAGCGTCAGTATTGTTGATATCATGTTGTCCATTTTTCGCTTAACAAAAACATCATAATTGAATTTGTTAAGAAACATAAATCCTCAGTCAAATACCAACTCTTGTACACTAACACCAACTCATGTCTACACTCTACAGGCCATTTACATGTAGCTGAAGCTCTTGGCGTGCCTCTTCACATCTTCTTCACAATGCCTTGGACGTAAGCCATAATTACCAAGCTTTTCAGCAACTTTTATTATATTTTAACAGCTATTTTGTTGAAAGCTCAAGCATGGCTTATTTCCAGTGTGCACAAGTTGCAGTCCTCCATCATCTCAAATCTCGCAATCTACCATGTTCGACTAATTTATCTGGACCCTCAAATGTTCCAACTAGGACAATTTATTCAATCTTTTACTGGTCCAAACTTACTAAAGTTATAATGTTCATGATGTCTGAGCACTATATATCTTATTTTCCTTTATTTGGGAAATGTTCTAGATGACAAAACTGTTACTTATTTCTTTTTCTTGTACTTTTTTTATACGTAGTAATTATCTGTTTCTTCAAAATATCAATTCAAATAGTAAAAGATTATGATTTTTTATTTGCTATTGGAATAGAAGTATCATATGTTTGCTGTCGTGATTGATGATCACAAGAATTTGTTTATTATGAAATAAAAGATTTTTTGTTCCTACTAAAATTTATAGATTTGTAGTAAGGTTGCTCCTTTGTAACTAGACCAAGGTTGGAGTCATGAAAACAGCCTATTTAAATATTTAGAAATAAGGTTGTGTACATCAACCGTCCCTAGATCCTGTATTGGTGGGAGCCTCGTGCACTTGGTATGCCCCTCTTAGTAAAATTTACATATTTCTTTTTTCTTATCAACCTGTGAGTGAATGACTTTAGGCTCCATTTTAAGTTGATTATTATCCGTCATAATTAAGAAACACACATTAGTGTGTGGTAGCCAGCATTAGTTCCAAATATTTAACTCAGCTACGTGGATTTCTACACCATATTAGCACTGTGACGGTGATCTTCCTCTGATTATTGAATGGCCATTGTGTTATTACTCACTGTTTATGATCAAAATTTCAGAATATTTGAACCCCCAGAGTCTTCTATTTTCTATTTAAGTTTAGCTGATGGAGGCAAAATGCAGAACAAACTGTTGTAAGTATGGAATGGGATACTTGGTTGTAGTCTATGGGATTCTCCATCTATATAAGGTGTAGTTGAATGAACTTTTAAGTGTCAGTAACTGAATTAAAGTTCGAGTATTCAATTACAACCACTCTGTGGTTTGGAAACCTCGTTGAATTAGCCTTGACAACCCAAACTTTTACTCTCTGGGTAGTCATAGGATGATTTGTCTTGGGTTGAAGACTGCAACCTTGAATTAATTCAATTTTTTTTTTGTTTGCTATATTCTTCTAACTTGATTATAGACAATAACACTTGCTCATTAACTTTTATTTTGTGTGGCAGGCCAACTAATGAATTTCCACATCCTTTCGCACGTGTTCCTCAAAGTGCAGCATACAGGGTATGCTTCTTGTATGCTTCTTTTTTCATCATGCATATTTTCTAGTTGGTTTATTTAGTATTTTTTTGTTTTATTCAGCTATCATATCTTATTGTGGACTTAATAGTCTGGTGGGGTATAAGGGGATTTATTAATGACTTCAGAAAAAGGAAGTTGAAATTACCTCCGATTGCTTACTTCAGTACGTATCATGGATCTATATCTCATTTGCCAACAGGATACATGTGGAGTCCCCATCTTGTACCAAAGCCAACTGGTAAGTTGGCCATTTGTTTGATATATCGAGCAATCCGTTGGTTTATAATTATTCATTTGCCATTTTAAAGTTTATTTCATAGGCTGGAACTGTATTTTATCACTGTATTCCACTTTGACATATTCAATGGTGTGAACATGCATGTAATGTCGAATTTAGACATTCTCATTCATGGAAATACTCATGTTAGGTGGAAATTAATATATATGGTTAGGAAGTTTGAGATTTGAGACATAGACCAATGTTTAATAATTAATCATATGGAGCTTAATCCCACATAGATGGTGTCTGACATTTGTGTGCGTGGCACAATCAAGATTAGTTTTAGCTGCTGAGGTTCGATAGATCTGTTGCACTGTTCAGTGCAAAAAGATGTTTTTATGAGTTCATACTTCATAGTATATTAGATGACTCAGTTAAGGATGTATAAACTTTTATGCCAGTGTAGGAAGTGCATGGCCAAGTGTGGTAGTTAACCGACAATTATCTGATGTGCCAATGTGCTGTTAATGTAGTGCTATAACCAACTTACAATTATATCTATTATTATGTTGAAGCCCGTAATTTATGATATCCATTGATTATGTGGCATTATCATAGAAATAGATGGGACTAGTACATGTCCACGTTAGCTTAGAATACATTAACATATTGTGCATTACTTTGGTTTCTACAAACAATGAGTTACATGAGCAACATGAATGAAATACTTATGTGGGTCGACACTTTAAACATAATTGTAGGTTGAGCAGATAACCTGAAAAGAAGCTACCTATGATGTGCACTAGATCTTTGGGGCCTACCGCATTGTGTAAAATAGTCGGATTGCACAAGGAGTCTGCTTATTGGTTTGGCAGTTGCTTACATGGTCAAATAACATATTAACATTGTAAGCTTACAACTTGTCTCAATATGAACCAATGTTTTCAAGCTTAGAAATATGTTACCTCAGAGAAATGAGTTACAAGTAAATGGGCAAAAGAGGCAAAAGGCAAGAGGGCAAGTGAAATCATCCTGATGTCATCATTTTGGAATCATATGGACGAGTTCTCAACAAGGGAAGAAGCGATCGGCAGAGGAAGACGCTGCCACAACCGTTGGAGGAAGACTCGTCGCTACTGCTGGAGGAAGATGTGCCACTATCGCTGCTTCCATCTTTCGCCGATGGCAAGAACGCCGTCACAAGAAACACAGTGTGAAAGAACGAGAATGACTTGTGTGTTAGGGCAGCGGGTCGTTTACTGTTCTGCGACATAAACTGGTTCAATCAAACCAGAGGAGTTTTGGGTCGACTTAGGCTTGACCTAGCATGAGTTGAACCAAGTGGGCGCTTGGCCTGCTCAACGCCTAGACCCAGGCTCTTGCTTGGGCAATGCCCAAGTCAAGTCGCCTCCTTAGACTAATAGGCGGGTGCTCGGGCCTTGCCTCACCTCGCCTGGGCGCCCAGTGACTTCACTGTCATAGCCATACAAACCCTACCTGAGTCAAAGAACCCAACCTTCCTTTGTCATGCATTGTTGCCTTCCTCGGTGACATATTCCATAGCCTTTTGTCAATTGGTTATCTCCTCTTTCTTAGTTTATAGGTTACATCAACTTTGTTAAATGATCTCCTATTTCCTGCACAAGTTTGAACACTTTGTTTAATGATCTCCTATTTCCTAGATTTGTAAAATTGCTAGGACAACATTGTTAGGTGGATGCACTGTTAGGAGTTATGACATAACAGTACACTATCAGGTAGATAATAGGAACACCTCACTTTGCTCGCTCGGTATATATTTTTAAAATTATAAATAAAAAACAGGTATATATTTTTTGCATAATAATATTTGGGGGTGCCTTGCATTGCTTGGGCAAGCGCCTAATGCCTCGGATGTTTTGGCATCCTTTGGCGCCTAACGCTTTTGAAAACATTGATATGAACTTTTCGCATCACATTATATAACTAGACAATGATGAAAGCGAACAAGGTTGCATTGCACTTGACTAGGTGATAACTGGGCCCACTATATGTTTGCTCTGCTAAATGGTGTATACAACTTGCAAGATTGGTGTAAAATTTACTTTTATCAATTTTATAAGAGATGATTCTGTTTGAGGATTACGCCATCCGCCTTCTAAAATTTGTAAGCTTCTTAACAATTCGAGTGGTTATAATATGGCTACTGTCTCTCGAGCTACTGTTAGAGATGCATGATGGACATCAGATCGCCATCACAAAATTGGGATTTATTGTGGCTTATTGTAATTCAAGTCTTGTAGAATGCATTTAGGACTGTAAATTATGGAATATGTTTTGTCTGAACTTGAATGTCTACTGATTTGCATTTGCAAAGTGCAGGTTGAAATACTTCTGTCAAGGTTCTCTGATGTAATATCTCTTTGTGAGTAACTTGAATGGGGTGTGCTAAGGCTAATCTTTAAGTAGAAACTGATATCAATGGGTCTAGATTAGATTATGTTACTAGACGCATATCTAGAATAGTATATAATATTATCACTAAATTGATTACATGCAAGTGCTCTTCTTTTTATTCAAACTTTCAGTTGCATATTTCTGTTGCTATTATCTTCAGATTCTCCGAGTATCAAAACATTTTCTTATTAAAATGTGAACCAAATATACTATTTTATCTGTCAGAAACCAAAATCTCACTTCCTTTTGCAGATTGGGGTGCCTTGGTTGATGTTGTTGGTTTCTGTTTCTTAAACCTTGGGACTGAATATCAACCTGAAAAGGAGTTTGTGCAGTGGATTGAACAGGGACCAAAACCTATATACATAGGATTTGGTAGCATGGTATGTCTCTTAATTTATTAGTTTCTTGATTAGATAGTACTTATTACTTAAGTTATTTCTCTCAGTGTTGGAAATCTTTTTCTGAATCTTAGAAGACTCAGAAGTGTCTGTACTCCGTATTATGATGTAAGTTGCAGAATAGTTAAAGTTGTGGTAAGTAAAAGAAACATTCTGCTACTGTGCCTTGCTTTCCACTAGCAATATGACCATCTTGTTTGTGGTAACCATGGTTTATTTCTCTGCCTTGATAGGACCAAGGACTGCCATTCTGTCCGAACTGGTATTTCATATCGGTCTGCCAATTAATCGGTATGTGACCAGCCCATTTCAGGCAGTACAAAGGGAATGGGTTAGGTGTTGGTTGGTACGAGATGTATTGGTTGACACAATATTGTATCAGCCTAGACAAATCAGTATCAATCAGAATTTGTTCAATAACAACCCATATTGGGTCAAGTTTTAACCCAATGCTCAAATTGATTGTTGGGGCCTCTTCTGGGCTTTAAGTCTCCTATCCTCTAAACTTTTTCACTCACTCTCCACTCTCATTCTCCCTCTCTTTCTCACTCTCCCTTTCTCACACTCTCACTTGTCATTAAAGTTTCTAGTCAACAATTAGTGATAATCAAGCTATTGATTTGGATTTGGATAAAAGAGAGATTATAAAGTCTAACTAAAGTTTAATTAGAGTTAATAAGTGTTATTTTGATTGGTGTAGACGTGATAAGTGGTCATTAGGTATAATTTAGGCCTGCTTAGGGGTTATTTGAAAGATAAATTCATTCGCTCATCCTTATTACTAGAATTTCTATTTATTTATGTCTAATATACACTCTATTTTTATTTAAATACAATAAAAATATTACTAAATAAAGAACCTAAAATGGTTTTCTTTTGAATTTTCAGTCATTTTCTGACCTTTTTCCCAAAAATCAGCATTGACTTGTCACGAATTTAGTTAGCTTTACCTAAGTCGTGCGGCACCCTTATATGTCCGTTCGCAAAGGTCAGCCTCCCCAAAACCTCCTATAGTCCCTTAGGACCTACAAAAGAGAAAACGGGTTAGAGAAATCATTTCACTTAGGATCCACAAGGAACCATTTCAACAAACACTTTATAGTCAATGCAAATTACAACCATAGACTTCATAAGCTCTGAACGGTCGTAGAACAAAGGTTCCAAATTGGTCCACTACAGACCGAAATATCCACAAGTGCTCATATGATACAACATTGGTTTACAAGGCTAAAACGACCACCAAAACCAATCAAAATGAGGCAATCAAGCCAACGACTACCCCTCTCCATGCTGTGCAAAGTATGAACAAAACCGAAAGACACAAACATACATGAGCATTACATCAAACAACCCGTTTATAATTTTGTCCATGACATTCTTCCCCACTTATTCTTTTGACGTCCTCGTCGAAGCCTTTGCAGACGCTGCATCTCCGCGCTTTTGCTGAGTCTTTAATCTTCTGCCCTAGCTGCAACGCACCTCTTGACTCCCAGGTGCTCTCCGCCGTTATTGTTGAGTAGTCGAACTTTGATCTGCCATGCTGCTTCGACTCGCCAATGACTTTGACTCTGGTGTGGGGTCGGTTGAGTTGTGTCGATTCTTGTTGGTTCATGCAGATTCTTAAGATGAAAGAAAAGACATTCTTTGTTATGTGCCAATCTCTCAAACGTCATATGCCGCTTGAATTGGGTCGATGCTTGTTAGAGCTTTAACAAGTATTGCCTCGTAAACTTTGAAGTTTTTGGGGTCTTTCCTTCACAAAATTTGCCTATCGATTCTTCTTCCACTTAGTTGTCACTTCTTAGTAGGTTCGTATCACTTCCGCTTTTGATTGATATTCTGTTGGGAAATGAAGCGGACAATCTACTTTTAGTAGCACCGATCATCATTGGTGAGAATTTGACAATTATTGTCTTTCATTAGGTTTCTTCGAAGGGTCTTTGAACCTGTGTAGGGCTCCTCTGTTGGATAAATAAGAGAATTGGGGTACTCGATTTCGTCCATTCTCTTAAGAGTTGAGAAGGCAAAGGTTACTTGACTTCGCCTGCCTCCTCGAGGTCTGTACTCCATGCATTGTGCTGGTTAGTAGCCTTCGCCTACTCTTTGCTCACACTTCCGAAGCACTCGAAGTGTTTCTACTCCTTATGTTGAGTTAGCTACTGTGATTCATCTTCTCAATGCCATCGAACTTCTAGAATGCAAGAAGTTTTTACCTTAACTTGGAGCAAGTCTCTAATAGTTTTAGTCGCATCTGGGATTGTACCGTCTTCAACATATCTATCGTCTACTCCTCTGAGTAGCAAATGTACAACATTGTGTACTACTTACTTCGTTCCTTGGTGGAGCACTCTTGCATCGACCCGAAGTCCTCCACTTTCGGCTATTTTGATGAGAAGCTCATTGACATCGGTCTTATAAAGTTTCCTGGACTTTTCCCTTTAGCCTTGTCTCGATACTTGGAGTTTGCCTCTGCATTCTCCACCTCCTCAGCCCCTTTCACAACCAAGCGCTCTCCCTCCATGAGAGCAAGGGATCGATGACTCCACGGAAGTCCCGCCTTTGCAGTACCATGACGTTGCTATGCCCACGACCCTACTATCCGCCACCTCACATTTGCGTCCCTTTCTTTGTGATTGGTAGATTCGCCTTTGCAGCACCATGACACTCTTCCAAGTCCATCTCCATTCTAACCGATACTTGGTTTTTGGGTAGCTGAGTCACTCTGGACTCATCGTCGGTTCCTCGCCCCTTTCGACCACCTGCTTCAACACCTCTATGTTCTCCGAACGGTTCCCCTTGGTTGATGGAAAGTCAGACTGCAACTCTCATGCATGGTCTCCGCCATCTTGTTGCGGGGCTCGCGTCAATTATGTTCTCCTTAGCTTCCTTGGTAGCAACGTTCACTCACTCGGTCTTGTCCTTTGATTTACCGAGCTCCTTTAAGCGAATATGAGCTCTAGAGTAATCCAACTCTTCAGTCACTCTGATCATACAACCTATGTATGATCAAGTCCCCTCATGGGACTCACTAGTACTTGCATTTGGAATTCTCCCCCGGTGGTACACGGTCCCCATATGTTGATGACCAAGGTTATCATCCGATGCAAAATTTGATGCATGCATGGAAGACCCACCTTTGTGGTATGAAGACCCGCCTTTGCGGTACCATGACATTTACTCCTTGAATACATAGCCCTTCTCGCCGTCGTATTGTTCATCGAAGTGGAGCTTCCAGTGGCACCCGATCATACCTCCGTATGATCCAGTCCCTCGCGAGACCTGTCTCGTGTGTGTTGCATTGCCTCGAACTGCTCTAAAATGTCACGAACTTAGTCGATTTTGTTTAGTTGTACGACACCCTTGCGTGTCCGTTCGTAAAGGTCTGCCTCCTCGAAACCTCCTATTGTCCCTTTAGACCTACAAAAGAAAAAATGAGTTAGAGAAAACGCTTCACTCGGGATCTACAAGCAACCATTTCAACAAACACTTTATAGTCAATGCAAATTATAACCATAGACTTTACATGCCCTGAACGGTCATACAACAAACGGTCCAAAATGGTCCACTACAGTCCACAAGTGCTCACATGATACAACCTACGTTTATAAGCCCAAAACGACCATCAAAGCCAACCAAAATGGGGCTACCAAGCCTACGGTCAGACCTCTCCATGCTATGCAAAGCATGAATACAACTGAAAGACACGGACATACATAAGCATTACATCAAACACCCCGTTTACAATTTTATCCATGACAGACCGGTCTGTATCGGCCAGCCCAGGATGGATACCATTGGTTGACACGAGACAATAATCGTTGGATAGGACATCTTCTTAGTATAAGAATAATCTTCTATGGTTCTTAAGGTAAAATAAGTTTTTTTTTTATAGCTTAAAACTTAAATAGATCTTGTTTGTCTGTGCCAGTTTGGTGGAAGCATTTGTGGTGGACCATATCATCTACCAACCAGGTTAATGCGTCTATCAATGGATTGAGCTTATGCTTCTAGATGGATTGGTAGGGTTCAAAACTTAAGAATTTAAGAGAACCAGAGCGGTTGAAGATAACTGTCCCTTATTCAGCTTAGTTGGATAAACTTCGAGCCTCAGCCCTTGCTTTCTCTTAACCCAAATTTACATGATCCCATAGGGTCTCTGGGAATAATCCTTGTTGGAATTGGCGCCTCCCTCCCCTTTCCTAAACTGAGTGAGCCTCTGTGGCACTGCTGCTTGTGTGCTCACTACCTGTGTCCAATATAGATTTGGGAACCCAGGTTGTGGTTGTGTGAACTATTGAAGCGTGCTATCAGTTTGCTACCTGAGAGAAATAGAGAGTCATGATGCTTACTGATGCCAGGATGGAGAGGAAATCAGTCAAAAATGGAATATAAGAGAAGATAAACTATCTCATTTTCACGATAACGTTCAAGTGATACAGATATCACTACCCAAAGGCTACCCTAAGGAGTCTAGATTATATAAGACTTAAGAACTCATCACTTTAAGTAATCAACAAAAGAGATTCAGACTTATATGAGAAGGACAATACCTCTCAAGAAACAAGACTTGTATTAAAAATACTCTATGCTTTTGAGGCTTATAAGACATGATATGAGATACATATAATGATATGCTTAGAACACCCCTCCAAATGTGAGTTATTAATTCTTCATTGTTTTCAATTTAAAATAAATGAAAACTAATTATAGACCCATAGAGAATTATTAAAATTCAAAAGGTGATAAAAACTTTATTCCAATCTCGGTAGAGCAGCAATCATGACCTTTGTAGAGAGAATCGAGTATAAACTTTCTACGGAGAACTTCAAATCAAATTGCATTGGGTTCCTACTCAAGAAGCTTTGCAATGATAATTATGTATAATTCATGTTATAAAAATCATATAATTTTGATTAAAATTTTGATTGCTTGGAAAATGAAAAACTATTGGTCTTAAAATTGAATTAATGTGAAATGAGGATTAAAATTGAATTAATGTGAAATGAGGATCAGATTGAATTAATGTGAAATGAGGATTAAAATTTTGATTTATTGGAAAATGAAAAACTATTGTGACTATCTTGACTTCCCTTGATTCAGAGTTTGGAGACACTCCCGTGTCACCTACCCACTCGTTACCTGTGACCAAAGAGCTTTGGTCTTCAGTGTCAGTGGCTTTTAACTTTGCTGACATGTTTCATTCATGCTATTGACCAGATAAAAATTTTCAAAAACAATCATAGAAAAGGTAGGTTGGTAAATGTAATGGCTTATTCCTTGATCATACAACAATTTTTGCTAGTATCTTGTCACAGACCAAGTGGCATATCATATGTACACTTGTATGGTGACCTGGAACATGCATTTCTAGTTATATGTGATTCTAATCATATTCCTTTCCCAACCATTAGTTTCCATGGGTATGCATAAACATAAGCCCATATGGTTCGAATATAGAAAAAATGGCCCAATTACGTGCTTCACTAGTTGCAAACCTGATAGTTCTACATAAATAAATCTTTAAAATGGTGATGCTTACTGCATCACTTCCTTGTCAGTTAATTTGGCATGCCAAGTGAGTACATACCATTTGGTAATTTTACTAAATAAAAGTTTAGAGTGGTTTAAATATCTACCAATGCTTGCCGAGTGAGTACTGTACCATGCTAATGCATGGGATGTACTACAAGTAACTCTTCGTTGCATAGGCTATGGCATGTTAATGTGTCACCTTCTTGTGCTGGTTTTAACATGTTATGCAATTTTCTAACACTTAGTTTTGAACCAGTTGGTCAAGTTCTGGTTCTAATTTGAAATTTTGATGCCATGTTTAGCCAGTGAGTGTTTTAGCTCTGATTTTAGTTCAACGATGACAAACATATATTCTTCTCATTCTATGAATATTGCAAGAGCATTTAATTAGCTGGTTCTACTTTTATATAATCTAAAATCATGTTGTTATAGATGAGAAAACTCAGTCATGTTTGTAAGCCATCTTGACAGAGAAGATAAGCAAGTAATGCAGAATAGTAGAAGAGATAAATGGTTTTTAATATGCTCATGGTACTTGATTGACTATTACATAGCAGGAAGCAATGCACACAGGCCGAAATGATACATTTATGAACGTCAAATTTCTAAATTATAATAAAATCCGAGTGCCAAAATCAAGGATCATTGTTTAGCTAAGGATCATGGATGAGATTTAAAGTTCAATATTCACATGTTTATTTGGTGATTGTAGTTGCACCTAACGCATATTGTAAAGAGAGCTTAAGCATTTAAGGGATCAAGTAATCCTCTTATAGTGTCTAATTGTCAATAAATTTGATACCCATCTCAAACTTTCTTTCTTTTTCTTCTAGGCTATATTTCTTGTTTTTGCAAGAGCATATTGTCTGTGTCATCCACTTGACATACTTTTGTTATGCATGTAAGTGTAGTTCATAAGTTTATAACAGCTCCTGCTGATCTTAAGGCCTTAAGTCTTTCTTTATTACTTTTGATTGAAAGCTGTATATGATGTTTTGTTCTGGTTTTCAATATGTCTTTGTCAAGCCACTTGAAGATGCAAAGAAGACTACGACTATCATTTTGGAGGCACTAAGAGAGACAGGTCAAAGGGGGATTATCAGCCGTGGTTGGGGAGATCTTGGAAGTTGTATGTATTTTCCATTTCGTTGTAATATACATACACATCTTAAAGTGTCAGTAGGATTATTCTTGTTGGTTAGATGCAGTGAGTTTCCCATACTTTACTACTAAGTGGAAACATATATATTATTTCTTTGTATGTTAATGTAATGAGTTATGTGCTAGAAGATTTTTCAAAGCTGTTTGTCCAATATGCAATTTAAAATATTCAACAAAGATACACTTAATGTTTGTGATATTCAATTCTTTCTTCTGTTCATGATATTAAATTCTTTCTTCTGTTCCCTTAGTTGTAGATAATATTGTCATATGAATCAGTTTTGTTTTTGCATTTTATTTCTTTTTGTAAAATAACTTCAGTTCTGTATCTCACTAATGCAGTGTCTGAAGTCCCTGTAGATGTCTATCTTCTTGGGGATTGCCCACACGATTGGTTGTTCCCTCATTGCGCTGCAGTGGTAAGCTTTCTATTTGGCGGTCAATTTTTTCATAATATGGTCTAGAAATGTGTGTATACACTTGGTCAAATAGATCTGTATTAGACATAACAAGCTATATTATCTAATTGTTGTAGTTTGACATTTTGACTAATTATAATCTACACTTTTTATTCCTACGAACCATGTTTTTTGACTTCTGTTATTACAGACAATTACCTAAATTTATGTCTTTGTAATTCCGTCGTCAGAAATTTCTGGTACCACTAATTAAGCTTATACTCCGCTGGAAAATCTGATTCATTTACTGGTCTTGTATGCAGGATTTCTTAATTCTAGATAAATTCTTGTCGATGCTCCTCATAAATCACTGGCATAAAGCGACCTCTGCAGCAGAAAGCTAATATACAGTTAATATTGTGAATAATTGAATAGGAATATTCTGCTACTTGGATGTCTTGTTTAAGTTGTTACATTTGAGATGATAATTTCCAGTCTTCTTCTTAAGCTGGTTGAATGGCTGGTTTTGGATTCCTATTTGACAAATAAGACATCATTAATTATTTCATATTTATTTTGTTTTTGTATTCTCAGAGGCTTTAGTTGCCTTCAAAAGAAAGAATTATTTGTTTGATGAGACCAACTGCAAGCTAGTTGCTATCTCATTTACTGAACTAAAATGGTGGTTTTCTCATCTTGGTGACTGATAATTCTGAAAAATGCTCAGGTTCACCATGGTGGAGCTGGGACAACGGCTTCAGGATTGAGAGCTGGGGTAATTGCCTCTTAGAACTTCTTATTATGTATTCTAAATAAACACTTGCATATATATAGCAACATGCAGAAAGTCCCCCCTCTCTTTTCCTCTTTTCCCAAGCGCTACTATCTCCTTTGAGCATCTTTTGAAAGATGATGATGGTTGTTGTCAAAAATCTATTATTTTTCCTAAAGGCACATGGGAAAAAAAGGAAAATACAGGGAGAGGAGAAAAGAAATAAGTTGAGAGAAGCAAGGAGGTTAAAGAGGGAGAAAGAAAAGGGAAGGAAAAGAAAAAAAAAAAGAGCATTACAGTTGGGGAACCTTATTTTAAATGGTATAGCCCAGCAGTTATCGTGATTCCTATTGCAGCAGCAGCAGCAGCAGATGGAATTTTGCAGTCATGGAACTTGACTTTGAATGCTATAACCCAGCAATAATCAACGTTTCCTACTGCTGCAGGAGCAGATGGAATTTTTGAATGTCAGTCATTATTGCTAAATGTGGACGATGCATGTGAGACCCAATGGCATGGCATTGGCTTTTTGTATGGAATGGGACATGGCATTGGCTTTTTGTATGGAACGGGACATCGTAATGGCAGATGAAGTACTTGCCTTTGTGTTGCTTTATAATAGGGTTGCAGTAATGATGGTTTTTATTTTCCATTTTTAGAGGGTTTGGCAAGCTCGAATATATGCTCGGAAGTATGTTTCTAATACTACAGTTCTTTTCACTTTCTTGTCTAGCAGACAAACATATTTGATGAATTCTTTGTGGTATTTCTTGCTTAGCAGTTCATTGGACAACATTGTGTCATTTCAAATGGGTTGATAGTTGTGGCTGTCGAAGTCAAATTTTGATTTGCTGGTGGAACATATGTTTCTATTAATATCATTATACATGTTTGTGCTATTAATTTACAGTTGTACCTTTCTTGTGCAGTGTCCAACCACGATTGTACCTTTCTTCGGTGACCAGTTTTTCTGGGGTGAGAGGATTCATGCAATAGGAGTTGGACCTGCACCGATTCCCATATCTGAGCTCAATGTTGAACGCCTTTCAAGTGCTATAGAATTTATGCTTGACCCAGAGGTAACTGAAAGTGTTTGATTTGGACTATATGCCTATGACGTATCATGTTGTCTTGTTTTCTGTAGAAACAAGTTTTCCTGCAATAGCTAGGCAACAAAATCATCACATTGAATCATTTGAGCAGATAGTTGTGATGGACTGTGACATGCTTTTTCCATTGGCATCCTGATTACCAAGAAAATTTGCAAGCATCACATTTTGATAAGCCGTTGAGTTGGTTCTTATGCTTGCAATGAACTCTTAAGCATGGTTCCCTTAGTTACCTATTTTGTATGCATTCACACGTCCCCACCTTATCAATGATCCTGCATTGCGAGGCCTAAATTTCTGCTCTGAAAATACTATTAGCTTTTAGGTCTTCTAAGTTGTTGTATCTGCTTGCATTTAACAATCCTTTTCTGATTTGTTGGTCGCATGACCTAAACATAGCTCAAGCTGTTGCATGTTTTCTCGAAATACTATAAACTCTTAGGCCTAATAAGTTGTGGTATCTGCTTGCATATAACAATCCTTTTCTGATTTGTTGGTTGCATGACTTAAACATAGTTCTGGCTGTTGCATGCATTTTTCCCTTCTCACCCTCCCTGACAGATTCGGTTCTTTCTTTTTTTTTCCCACTTATGGAGGTTAAGATGTGTACCATGGAATTAGCAAAGCAAATAGAGAATGAAGATGGTGTTGCCACTGCTGTAGATGCATTCCATAAGCATTTGCCTCCTGAATTACCGATTCCTCCTGCTTCATTGGATGATGAACCTCCAAATCCCATACGATGGCTGCTTCAGTTCTTTGAGAAATGGTGCTGTCTTCCATGCAGTTCATAGTCCTTTCTGAACTGTGTGTGCATAGTTGTTCATTATTCTTGGTTCTTTGCTAGTCATCATTTGTTATATTCTTTTTTGTGAATATGTGCAATAAAAGATAATTATATAGTTTTGATCTTTCTTGAATGTTTAGAGATTCATGAGATATGACTTACAATAGAATTTTGGTGTGTAATACTGTCAGGAGTGCACATTGTCACTTTGTAAACAACTCCATCCTCTATGGTCTAAGTTGGTTGGTTTTAGCAGGTTGTTTGGTTACACCAGTTGTATGATTCTTTTCTTTTAGAGAGTAGAACATCAAATCCCTTCAATCTTTTCTGGTAATCCTAATGTCATAATGCTCTTGCCATTCTTGGCTAAATGGTTCATGTGCTTTGGTGTATCAGTGAATTTTGTAACTTAAATGATAAGTCATTTGAAGTGGAGCAGCAGTGGGTGGATGAGCTGGATAAGCAGTATGCAATGTCCTCTCTTTTTTTTGTGAAAACCAAACCAAAATGTAATATGTATTTTACTTTTTATTATGTATTTATGTATACATATATTATTTTCGTATTTTAATTAAAATTTGAAGGTCTTCTTACCTGAAGACTTACTATCTTTGTTATTTCTTCTTTCAATTATCTTTCGTTTCTTTAATGTTCTTGTGACGTGCTTTTTAATTCTGCAGTGTTAATATTAAGAATGTTCAAAAGATTATTTGGTTTATACAGAAATTTAAGTCTTTTGGAAACCGAGTTGGTTTCTGTAGTGAAACGATTTCATTTGATTTGGTTTGTGATATTTCTGAAGTGTAATATATTGGTATCATTCATTTATAAATCGAACCATGCATATGCCAAAGCTGGATGCAGTTTTTTATTTTTGAAAGTGATAATACCTGATGATTGCATCACATACATTTAATTGGATCATTGGAACATCATCTTCCAATATGTTTGGTTATTTCCTCTTTCCTCTCTACATGGTTGCTCCAATCTGCATGCTGGAAAGCATCTCCATAACATTTTCATGGAACTCTTAGACATGCATGGGTGCATCTGCTAGCCTCATGTGGTCTTAAATCTTGTATCCTTTTTCGTTCATATATATATTCGTTGGCTTTTTGTTCTTTTCAGTAGATGGAAGCATCAATGTTTTGAGATTGGCCGTCATTCAAGTTTCTGGGTTTCAAAGTCTCTTCCATCTCACCAATTAGATTCAATTATGGACAGACATTTCCATTACATCGTTCTTTTCATGCTTGTCTTGTTAGTATTATGTGCAGTTTTGAAAACTCAAAAGTCCTATTTGGTTGTGTTGGAAAATGTGGTTTATAGTTTGTGCCCATCAAAAAAAAATTCCTCTACTCGTGGAATATTTGGTGTCTTACACCTTACCATCAGAATGTAAGGCTATAAACTTTACCTTGTAAACTAAAGGCTTCCTACAGGAAAGCTTGAAAGTTTTGCCTTCTTGATGTTAATTTGGGCAGATTGCTTTTAAAATATGCTGAAACTTTCGACTTTTGATTTTTACTGTTCAGGTTCACATAAAAGGTTGTTTTTGCATGTAATCTGTTTCTATTTCTTTAAATAGATTGGTGTTAGATGAGATCAATAATTGCATATTAATTTATCATCAGGAATTGTCAATACTATTGATTTTTAATTTCCGTTATCTGCTCAGATTAGTAATTTACTATAGCTCAGGTTTATAATTACCTGCTTGAATATGATGAAATTTTGTTGCATAAACAAACATCTCTCCTTTGAGTTACGCACACATACACATAAATAAAAGATCTTTGCCCTAACGAATTTAAATATAAGATATATATTTGTTTCTCAAAAATCTAAGTTAATAAAATTAAAATATATGTTAATATAAAATAATTGAAAGTACTCTTTATATTATTATCATTAGGCTAATTATTGAAGGATGTTAGTTGTATGTAAATGTATGTATGTACATTAAACTAAAATTTAGATGGATAAATACGAAAATCGAGTAAATGTATAGATAACCATGCATTATTATTATCATCCTTTTAATCTGGACCGTCCATTGAAGATCATTCGACGAGCGCTTGATGTCTTCGGCAGTGCAAATTCTTCGAAATCAGCCGTCAATCTGCTTGATGTCAGTGCGCCGTGATTCGCATTTGTTGATTATTCACGGACCATCAATTGTAGTTGACGATCATATTGTCCAAAGAAGAGGCCATTTTGGTCATTCTCGTTTGTAGGTCGCGCCGTGCCGTCTCATCTCGCAACTATATAAGCTTTAGGGATCTGAGGGGAACGTGGGAGAAGGTCGCCGCCGCCGGGTGGTAAGAACATGCTCACTACTTTTCAATCCCTGGGCGTATCCTTCTTTCGTTCCTTCTGTTATCCTCGTCGGTTCCACAAATCTTATGATTCGCTCAGTTCAATTCATAGTTTTCTGTATTCGCCTCCTCTTTCGTAAGCATTGAATCGACCTGGTTCTATATTCAGGGTGAAGGGAGGTAAGAAGGATGTCTCATCGGAAGTTTGAACACCCAAGGCATGGGTCTCTTGGGTTTCTTCCCAGGAAGAGAGCCTCCCGCCATCGTGGGAAAGGTAAGTTAAATGTTTTTATCTGGATCTGAAGTTGTCATGGTTGTAAGTTAGTTAATTGTGTGTTTGTCTAATTTTTATTTTGAGCATATGCTCCATCGTCAGTGTATCTTGTGCTCAATTTTTCTGCACTGATGTGCTTTATTACTGATCTGATCGTTTATACATTATATCTTGTTATTTCTGGAACGAAATTGCAATGGAATTTTCCTTTCTGGAGCTTGTTTGTTTCATGATATATTTATCTTATTAGTATTGCTAAATACTGCCTTGAATCACTGATGTATGATCACAACGCATTCTGGCTTGCGGGTATTGTATCATTGAACACAGCCTTGTATCATGCAGCAAAAGTTACTTGTGTGTTTATCTTTTATTGTGAGCTTGTGTTCCGTTCTCAGTGTATTATGTGTTCAACTTTGTTGCATTAATGTACTTTGTTCCTGATCTGATTATTTATGTCTTGTTATTTCTGGAATGGAATTGCAATGTATTTTTTGTTTTCTGGAGCTTGTTATCTCATGTTTCATTTATCTTATTAAGTTTACTAAATACTGCCTTGAGTCACTGCGGTATGAAAACAACACATTCTTGGTGGACCAGTTCTATGCGTTGACATAGCTGTATCATAGTGATGAGAAATATATATGATTTCTTGATGCAGTGAAGTCGTTCCCCAAGGATGACCCAAGAAAGCCCTGTAAGCTCACAGCTTTCCTTGGATACAAGTCTGGGATGACACACATTGTCCGTGAGGTCGACAAACCAGGATCGAGTAAGTATTTAGTAGCCAAATTTAGCTATAGTGCTTGAAGCAATATAGTGTAAGGCAGATTTGGAAGAATTATCATTTTCTATGCTATATTGAGTTTTTTCTCTATTAGTTATTAACTTTTTACTATAACCAAATTCATTCAGTTGTTCCAAACTTAACATTCCATATTAGATATATATTGCTTGGTTGCCGAACCTAATATAATATGATCATATCATATTTCATAGGGTGTTTTTGGCATTATCTATGCATTTCAAACTTCTAAAACTAAGAAAGCTGCTCTTTGCTTTGGATTTGTTGTTTTCTAAGAGTAGGTTGTGGTCACAATTTAACTATAACTTGTAGAAATGAAAAATAGAAGTGTTTAGCAATATCCAAACCAAAAAAAGAACTTTGAGAAGGAATTCCGCAACAATGGGGACGGGCATCTTAGAGGGGGCAGGAGGCTTAATAGATATCATATTGCATGGGATGATGTTATGTGATCCAAATCTCATGACTTTGGACATTCAAGATCTCACATTTTTTGTCATGTTGTCAAAATCAAGAGAAATGAATTTATAGATCTCTGGACTTTATTTATGCAGATATTTGCTGTATGTTTCTGTTTGTCTGTGACTTCTTGTATCACAAACATATTGCTTTTCACTCTGGCAATGTTTGATGCCTAGGTTTTGTCTATTTAACTGGATTTTTAAAACTATCTTTATTATGCTCGGGAGAACTGACAATGCATTAGTTCTCATTTGGTTGAGACTGGTAATTTATTTCATGTTTTGCAATTTTTTTCTTTTTAATGGGCCCATGGACATCATATTCTACTATTCAATTCTTTAATTCCTTTTTAAATTGGAATTTTTTATACTGTCTGATGCTGCACCTTGTTTTTTTTAATGGAGATTGGCCTTCTTTTGTATTCTACTCCACGATGCCTTTTCTCAAACTTGGAAGTTCTTATGCTATCTGATTTATTGCAGAGCTTCACAAGAAAGAGACCTGTGAGGCTGTGACTATCATAGAAACTCCACCAATGGTTGTTGTTGGAGTTGTCGCTTATGTGAAAACCCCACGTGGACTTCGTTCTCTTAACACAGTATGGGCTCAGCACCTGAGTGAAGAAGTGAGGAGGAGATTCTACAAAAGTTGGTGCAAGAGCAAAAAGAAAGCTTTTACGAAGTACTCTAAGAAATATGAAAGTGAAGAAGGAAAGAAGGAAATTCAGGTGCAGCTGGAGAAGATGAAGAAATATGCGTCTGTTGTTCGTGTGCTGGCTCATACCCAGGTACATTCTGGTGCAATCATCCATTGTTGATATTAGTTAACTCTTGATATCTCATATTCATATGTCGAAGCTACACTATCAGCTGCTAGCACTCTTAATCCTTAATATACAATACAACCGTCTCATGGATTCCCAAATATCTAACCCTCTTCTCATATGTGAATGTCTTAAAGAAGTGTGGTTTACTAATATATTTGACCTGGTTAACATGTTTGTTGCAAAGTTCTCTGAAGGCTGGCTACATATTTTTATTGTTTTCTTTTCTAATACATAAGTTTGAGATGTGCATTTTTTTTCTTATAGGGTGTATCTCCTTAAAAAAGAACATAATATGTTTTAAGTTTAGCATTGGCCTCATTATTGGCTGTGAATTTTATCAAAATTGCTAGTTCAGACTGAATTATTTGTTACCTTTTAGATCAATCTAATTAGCCAAAAAATTCAGGATGATATTAATGTAATGTGCTGCTCCTTGCTTGTGTTATTTCAAACTACTATTTTCTGCAGTATCCTGTTGATAATATTTTTTTATAATTCTGGAGTTTTACTTCTGTTGCTATTATCCTATAGTTTTGTAGGCCATCATATGAAGTACATTCATGATTCTAGTTTTTCTTTGACAATTATCATAGAGGCAACTACTGTTCCTAAAATATTATTCCATATCATAATGCCAAATTGTACAGGATGGTACAATATATTCTGTCAATTAATAAATCAACTTGTTGAGATTATAGTACATAAACAAATCACCAATTGGCTTTTCTTTTGATGGCAATTTTTCTAAAGTCAACCTAGGATTGGATGAATTTGCAAAATTTGCAATGAGTATTAAATGTGTTTTCTTTATAGCAGTGGAAGTATATCTGAAAGGTGCTTTGTATAGTTCACTTTGATATCATCTATTCTGTGTAGTCTTCTTTGATTCTATTATTTATCGAAGTTTGCTGATGCTCTTTCATGACCTGCTGTTTATGCCAGATAAGGAAGATGAAGGGTCTGAAACAGAAAAAAGCTCACCTGATGGAGATCCAGGTTAATGGAGGGACAGTCGCTCAGAAGGTGGACTTTGCATACAGCTTCTTTGAGAAGCAAATCCCCATTGATGCTGTTTTCCAGAAAGATGAGATGATTGATGTGATTGGTGTCACCAAAGGTAAGGGTTATGAAGGTGTTGTTACTCGTTGGGGTGTCACCCGCCTTCCACGAAAAACACACAGAGGTCTCCGCAAGGTCGCTTGTATTGGTGCGTGGCATCCTGCCAGAGTCTCCTACACTGTTGCACGTGCAGGACAGAACGGTTACCACCATCGTACTGAAATGAACAAAAAGATTTACAAAGTTGGTAAAACTGGAGATGAGTCACACAGTGCTATCACGGAGTTCGACAGGTAATCAATTATCTATGCTTCGGTTGGTTTTATCACAGTGTCTAGAATATTGTTCAAGCTTATAGAGATTAAATTTTTATGTTACTAACAAATGCCAGTGCTAAGTTACCAAGAGGACTTCTGATTGATTGTCTGGCTCAATTGTTTGAACAGAACCGAGAAAGATATCACACCAATGGGTGGTTTCCCTCACTATGGTATCGTGAAAGATGATTACATAATGATCAAGGGTTGCTGTGTTGGGCCAAAGAAGAGGGTCGTCACGCTTAGACAGTCCCTATTGAAGCAGACTTCTCGTTTGGCCCTCGAGGAGATTAAGCTGAAGTTCATCGATACATCATCCAAGTTCGGGCATGGCCGGTTCCAGACGACTGAGGAGAAGAGGAAGTTCTATGGTAGGATGAAGGCTTGATTTGTTACATCTCTCTCTCTCTCTCTCTCTCTCTCTCTAGAAGCTTGGTTTAATTGTTTGTCGTGAGAGCAGAGAAAGAGGATAGTGGATACTAAGTTGAGCTACATTTCATCTTTGATTTGTCCTGTGATGATTTGAATTTTGGACTTGCAGAGGATATCTAAATCTATTTCTGATTTGGAACCCTACCATGTTATGTTTTCTTCCATGTGTTCATTTACAGCATGTAGGAGCTACACAGAACCTGAAACAATGTTGGCAATTGCATTTGGGCTCAAAACCAGGGTAGGTCAACGAGTGATATTGTGCCGCACTAGAGCATGAGGGCATCTTCCTGCTCATAAACCCAAGGGAAGAACATGAGGATCCCGAAAGAGGCCACAAGACAGAAGCAGAGAAGACAGAACAGTATCAGAAAGATAGGATTGAAGATGATGAAGACAAAGACAGAAGCAGAGAAGACAGAAAAATATCAGAAAGATAAGATTGAAGATGATGAAGACCGAGATAGCGGGAAGAAGACACAAGGTTTTGGTTCTCAATGGGACAAGGAACAACGTGGAATGCTTTGCTTCAGGTAGTAGAAAAGGATGTTTGAGATTCTTTGAATTCGATCGTATTTTTTCTGTGGACATGCTTGAATGATATTTCACGTCACTTGTGTTCTAATCACAGAAAGATTTGGATAGCAAGGTTCAGCTCCTTAAGAGTCTTTGAGGCCTCATTTTTTATGATCATATTCAAACACTGGCAAATCCACGGGCATAGTTCTTGATGAGACAAGTTCTGGTTGCATGGAAGAGGTCGATGGCAGATCTAAAACTGGATGAGAGTTGGATCTCAAAACGCAATCTTCAAATTGATTCCATCTGACAGAAGTGATTTGATGCAAGCAAAGCAAAACAAGGAAACAACATCTTTATCGGCCGCCTTTCTGCAGAGTCCTATCTAGGCAATCACGACCCCTTTGTCACCATCCTACTTGATCTCCCAAAGCAGAGCAAGTAACAAGAGAGAGAGAGAAAGAGAGAGAGAGAGAGAGACCGAATGGCCATTGTTCAGGTGTACCCAGAAGAAGATGGAGGAAACCCGGTTGAATCCATCCATGATGGGAGCTCGGCACCCACTGTCCAATTCATCTGATGCTCGATCGCACCAGAGTCGTAGAACAGAGGATAAGCGGAAGAAGAAGACGAAACAGAGGAAGAGGAAACAGAAAAGGTGGGAAAGGAATGAGAAGCCAAAGAGCCATCGTCCACCGCCGAAACCATCGTCGGCGCATAGCTGGAGTACATCACGCTATCAAAGAGGCTCGTTGCAGGAAGCCTTTGGTACTCCCCCGCTCCCTGCAACAGCCTCGAGTACTCCAAGTAGTCAGCCGTCGAGCTCTGAGCATCCCAAGGCGGCGCCGCCACCGAGCAGGAGACCGTCAACTGCGTCGTAGGAGACACAGGTGGCGGCGGCTGATGCAGGCGGACGTTCTCGGGGAAGTTGAGCTTGGCTCTGCTGCCCCTGAAACGAAGGGCGGCCTCATCGTAGGCGCGCGCCGCCTGCTCTGCGGTCTCGAAGGTCCCTAGCCACACCCTGGCCGCCTTGTGGGGGTCCCGTATCTCCGCCGCCCATTTTCCCCACGGCCTCTGGCGCACCCCGCGGTACTTCCTTTGGGCCGCCGCCTCCTCGTCCTTCTGGTGAGGAGGAGGAGGAGGAGGAGGAGGGGAGGGCTCTTCCATGGACATCGTTGGAGCTGCTGCTATCGGGCTCTGCTTGCGTTGGTCTGTAGCTGTATTGTCACAAAGCTTAGATGCAATGGATGGCCCAAATGGGTTATATAGGAGGAGATAAGCATCTTGGAAGGAACAGTGGGATTACATGGCGAGATAAAGCCAGAGATGACAACTTAGGTTCATGCATGTTTAACATAATTCTCCATTAAAATATGGATAAGAAAAGATGTACTTTATCCATTGTTCAATGTCACAAGGGATCGAACATCAGCACTGAGGTCATGTGGAGGTGCAAAGGTCGACCAGAGAGCTTATCTTCTGTTGTGTCTTGCGCAGGAACGCACAAGGGATAGGCGATCAGTGTTTCTGTCGACATGCAGCCGAGGGGTGTTTCATATGTTGGCAGCATGCATTAAAGATACAGGTGAGGATGGAAGAGCACCATCCTCTGCTCTGTCCTGTTTCTCCAGTTTGTGTGACATGCAAGATGCAGAGTTTGGCATGTCGCATAACTGGCAATCTTAATGTTGATGTCACTCTCGCAGACAGAATTAATTCGACAGCAACATTTTGTTGCTGCATTTACAACTCGATTGGATAATAGATAAGCCACGGAATCATAGGAAGGAGGACTCCAATGACCGAATGAAAACAGAGCGTTGCAGATTCACCTGCAACATGTAAAGGAGGAGTCGCCACTGGATGGCTTCCGGCGCCGACGAAGGCTCGGAAGTACGTCGATGGCACCTCCGGTGGCAGAGCCTCCCTCACTCTGCTCTGCCTGCCGGCCAAGCCGGTCTCGTCTCCCAGAGACTGCAGGGAGCAGGAAGAAGAGATGCAGGAGGAGGAGGAAGGAGAAGAGGAAGAGGAAGCCGAGATCGGCTCGGTGCCGGAGACGACACGGGTCAAGGCCGAGACGATGGCCGACATCTCCCAGGCCAACCGGTGGCCGGAGAGCAGTGGCGCCACGTTGTCGTCTTCTACCTCGCCGACTCCCGGCAACGGGCGCAGGCTCGCCACCTTGTGAGACATGGACGGCTGGGGATCGCTTCGAACGCTTTGCTTTGGGAACGAGGGAGGGAACGCATGCGTTTAAAAGGAAGCCAAAGATGGGGTGCCACAGATACGAACAAGCCGCCAATTCATGGAAGTGTTTTCCCGA